GAGATTTAGTGTAGATTTTATTTACTTTTTCTAGAAAGCTTTTCAGGGGTGTCCACAAAATACTTTAGAGTCAAATGATCAAGCCACATTCATGCTACAGGACTTTTGATATGGTTGGCAAATGATTTATTCTTCCACTGTTTTATAATCCCTAATAGTATGCTCTTAATATTAATGCTATTATAATTATGCATGCCACGAGTTTATGAAGGAATTTAAAGCATATATTTAGCTGGGACACTTCATGCAGTTTGCTTTCATCCAATAGATAAGTATCTATTAATTGATTTTTCTACACTGAGTCACAATTTTCCACCTGGCGCTTTCATATCTAAAGCTTCAAGAGAACAGCATAATCATCTTCTGTAATGGTATGTATGAAATATCTTAGAGGAGACAGAAGGAAAGCTGCAAACTGGCAATTGGCATATAAAAGATACAGAAAGGAGGATGTCGGAAAAAATTCAGAAGGGACAAACCCCCCACCCACCCCAGTATTAGTGACAGTAAAAGAAAAGGGAAGGGAGGAATACTTCAGGTTGTTATGTAACCTTACAATAAAGATATAGAATTAGCACTCTGGGTTTATTTCTCTGGTCTGGACTACCTTGCAGAGCTAACATCTTCATCATCTCCTACATGGCAACCCTTCATTCATTTATAGTCCACAGAACCTCCAGATATGATAAACATATCACATCTTTGAACTCATTCTTTTTAAGATTTGGGTTTTAACTCACCTCACCAGCATCTTAATTACCATGACTATAACTCAGGGTAGATCTCGACTTTTTACCTTTGCATGATAAAGATCCCAGGTCAGGTCGAAATTCTTGAGACCTCAATGAATCTGGTTGATTGGGTGGATATACTGGTAGGATACACAGAACATACCACATAAAATAATAACAACAATAATAATTATTACCATAAGTATTCCAAGAAAATGAACCTTGAACACACAAAGAAATTCAGTTGCTGTTGCATGTAAGGTTGAGACTAGACTTGGTTAGTACTTGGATGAGATCAGCAGGAAATCTGAGAGCTGTAGACAACAAAAAAAGCCATAATTTACTACTCTGTTAAGAAAATTGTAGCTGTCTGGGCTATATAAGCATACTGATATGGCATATTACTGGTCTGAAAGTTACAAAAATAGTTATGTTTCGATGCTATTTTTAGAGTTAAAGCTATATAATACATTTGGAGTTCACAATTTGAGCTGCTTAAATAATGTAGCATTAATATAGCGTTCTATACAAGCCTAAAGATTCTTGCATGTAATAACTCTTCATTTGTTACAATTGATTTGGACTACTCCATTATACACTGAAATTCAAGCCATTTTGGAAAAAGACTTTTTGAAAATAAAAGTTCTGGCATTTCCATTTTAATTTTTTTTGTTTTTTTGCTATTTTTATACAGGTGTACTGTTCCAGATTTTAAAAAGAAATGATTTATGGGAAACAAATGAAAATTAGGGTACAGTATATACAGTGGGCCTTCATTTTGGTTCATGTCATGTATTCTGTAGAGCATTATCACCATGCTAAAAAATAAAAAATACTATTTACTAATTCTAGTCAACTTTTAACAGGCATTCAGGATATTTCAGATTGATAAGAAAGATTATTATTTCACCAATAATACCACATTTGACTGGATTGTTTTCACAACATTCTAAAGAGTTTTATGCCAAAAACAATGAGTCAGAAACACATTTCAGCAACAACTGCACACTTCACATTTTAAAAGAAAAAGGAATGTTCACAAAGCATAATCATATAGTGTAAAAATAATCATATAGTGCATTGAACAGGTCAGATTTTTTTCCTCAGCCAATTCAATATTTAAATAAATTTAAATTCTGAATCCCTCCCTCCCGTTTGTTCTATTCATTTCAAATCAGTTTGGGCATGGAACACTGATGTTTACACTCTTTTGCTAAATATTTTATATACTGGATATAGCTCAGAGCAAGGATTAGAGCTTCCCACAAAAGCTGAAGTATTGCACCATCATCACCACGAATATCGAAGATAGTTATCATCAAATATCCTTGGGATAAATAGTGTAAGTTGCAGAAAGGATGGAAAAAATGCCAGAAAATAATTTCAGTTCCACATTCCTAACTTTACTGTCACTTATATGAAATCTGAAACAGAAACATACAAATTTTGAGAGATTGTTTGATGTAGTGTTTTACGCATCAGGCTAGACACCAGGAGATGGTAGGTTCTAATCCTGCCTTAGATATTAAGCCAACTGGAGGGACCTTCAGCAAACCGTTAGCTCCCTCAGCCCTAGGAAGGAGGCAAGAGCAAACCTAAAAATCTTGCCAAGAAAACTGCAATGATTGAACAGGCAGTCATCAGGGACTAAGAAACAAATCACAGTTTGTATAAAAACTGTAGCAATTTAGGGCTAGATGTGCCACTAATTCATATGAGAAAATTCCCGTTCAGGGCAAATCTCAAAGCTTGCTATTATGAATTGTTAGGTTTTACATAAAATGCATGCTCTTGTAGCTTCCCTAGCATTAGGTCTGCATCATACGAATTCTAGAATAACTTTTTCTCTGAACAGTAAGTAGCAAAAATTTCTGCCTTAACTGGTTATGAACATGTATGGTACTTTTAAGTAGCACAAACTGACCATTATTTATTTAGAAAAAAATGGTCATTTGCCTTGATGTTTGTACATGTCCTCCTGTTAATGATGGCAATCGAGATCGGAATTTAACATTGCTAAGTAAAGTAGTTGCAAAGCAGGATGTCATGTGAAGATGCCATGTGAATGTGCAACTTAGTGATGGCACTTGCTATTAAGTAAAACTTGCACTATCGTTAATGATGACATCATGAGGTCACCATGTACAGCCTCCTGCCGGCTTGCCCACTGATTTCGTTTGTGGGATGCTGGCAATGAAGATTGCAAAGGGTGATTATGTACCTGTGGGATGTTGTGACACTGTAATTGCACAGCAGGCGCAGAGCCATCATTGGGCAAGGACCACCTGTACTATGAGAGAATAGGGTGCTCTCTGATGAAACTTCTCTAGAGATAAATTACTTCCAATAGCTCTGCCAACATAACTTGAACAGATTCTTCAAGATGTGCACTTATATCTTTGTCTCCAAAATAACTGCCATCTGCTGCCAAGCAGGCTGATCTTTAATGCAATGAGAGCAATGCATGAAGTACAGTAATGAACCACAGCAGTGCACTGACTGGCATCAGTACTCAACTAGTTGTCCTCCAGCTGGTGATTACATGGCTAGACATCCTGGAGATTTGTAGACTCATCTTAATGGGAAGACTGGAAGGTTGTGCCGGAGTAACATTAGAAGTCATATCATACTATATACCACTGGCATACACTCACTGTAGGTTCTTCTTGGCAGCAGCACAATTATGGTGTGGTTACAAATGTTACGGTTAACAAAAAGTTTTACTCAGAAATTAAAAACTGTTTACTATACCCAAATTCCACCCCAAACAATATAATGAATGATATATATACACATATGCATATATATAAATATATATATGGTATTCAGCTTTGTTCAGGTATTTTCCCACATTATTATAGTTGTGCTTTTAAAGTTGTAGCAACGTTTCGGCAGAATCTAATCTGCCATCATCAGGCTTCTGTATAGTGTTAGTCTGTGAGTCAGACTTTCACAGCCGTTTCTGTTTTAAATTTGAAAGTCTTGAAAACTTAAGAATTGAAACTTAAGAATTGAAAACTTAAGAAAACATATATATATGTTGATATACATATATCATATATATAAAATGATATACCAATATGATTACTTGTCAGGGAAAAATAATCTCGCATGGGCCAAAAAAAATCATATATATATAATGATATTGGTCGGTCTAAAAACAACTGGTAATAATGAGAATTACAACCATAGAGGAAAAGTGGTACAACTGGAAGAGAAGATAACTATCCTCAGAAACTCAGCAATTGCATGTGGTTACAGAAGGCTTAACAGGAATAATTTTCCATTGCACAAGAACTTCCCTATTCAACAAAGAGCCCAATTTGTGTTATTTGCATCACTCCCAAATTGATAAGATTTGAAAAATTGCTTATAAATATATACCCAGTAAGTCAAGTGGTTTGGAAACTTAGAAAGAGGGAGATGAATGTTCTGTGGAATTTGGTACCCTACCTGATGATTCTGTGCAAAATTCTACACATAGAACGATAATGACAAATACCTCTGATTACATGCCTATTAAAAATGAGATTAAGATCAAATAAATGGTTAATTTTACAGCTTTGATTATGTTACTTTTCATTCTAGCTCTATAAAACAGGAAATTCTTTAAAAAATACAAATACTTAAAATCTCAGAATATGAGCTAAACAAGCCCAAGAACAAAAAAAAAAGTCCACTGGTCAGAGCTTAAACTATGTTTATAATTTCCTATTTATTGTCATTAATGTATTTCTAAACTTAAAAACCCTTCTGGTAAGTTATCAATTTTTATGACAAAATTTTGCACAACACACAAATATTTACAACATGTACATTTTCTTTTTCAGTCTTTTTACACTGGATCTCAAAAGACAAACATTTTATAGATTACCACAGAACAAAAGCTGTGACTTAGGCTTTTCTTTTAAATTTCATAAAACTATCATAAGTTAAAGTGAATAGGTTTCTTTAAATTCCTCGTAGCATTTTTTTTTACAAGTGCAACAGAAAACTATGAGGATCCAATTAGAATGGCTGCAATTAATTGGATAAATGTTGCCTGTTGTAATCACATTGTTTCACAGCAAGTTCTTGAAAAAATAAGCACCAATCATTCTTGCAAAGAACAATTTTATCTAAAAGTATTGAAAAAAGTGTTAAATACAAGGTGTTTTAATTTACATAACAAGAAATAAATACACCATCCAAACTTGTATTCTGCATACTGCTACTCTTGTACATATAATGTACTAAAAGTCAGCAAACTGTCAAACACCCTTTTTTTTAAAGAAATCAATTTGACTTCAAACCAACGGTTTGCTACTGTAACAAAGGCCACAAACAGTACGTCTGGGGACAGCATACAGTGTTAAAACTGACAAACTTCAGAGGGGAAAACATCTAGCAATTAAACGGAAAAGCTGTATTTCATTGCTGGTGATATTAACATACTAGGAAACCTTAATAGGCCACTACTATGATTTCTTTTAGATTATTTAGTCAGATGTAAGAGCAAAATAATGCTCTTGACAGATTAAAAATTGTTTAGCCACATTATTGTGATTTAATTATCCTTCATGGAAAAATCTGATGGCATTTTTGTAATTATGCTTGAGCCTTTATTTTACAATAGAGCATTTTTCTCTAACTCAGAATTGCACATAAGAAGGCTATTAAAAAGTACAATAAAAATCTGCACAACTTGACTTAAGGAGTCAATATGCTGTACACTTTCTACAATATTATGTTGATATAAGTGAACAAACAATAAAGAAGTGCTTCCACTAACATTTTGAGAAAGTTAATCAGTTGAAGAATAATTGTCTGGAATTTTGTTTTGTTTTTTTAAAAAATGGACATCTTCAATTTAAGACCTGTAAGCTTATGCATTGAGCCTTAAAGACTGATCTTCTCTTCTCCTGGAAGAAATGTCAATGTCTATTGAATCCTTTCCAACTATAAGCCTTAAACGCTTAGCTGGAGGCAGAGGAATAAAATCATCCTCAAAATCATCCTCATATTCCTCCTCCTCCTCCTCCTCTTCTGCAGATGAAGAATCATCAATAGTTTCTTCTTCATATTGACTATAATTGTCCACTTCCATCCGTGACTCTAGTAGTGAAAGAGGATCACTGCAACACATTCCGTTCTCATGAAGGTCATCTGAGTACATTCCCCTATTTTCTTCTTCTCGCTTTAGCTGTATTTTTAATTTTGTTGAACTACTACTTGATCCTGAGTTAAACCCATTATTAAGCTTTGCTACATATAAATTATTATCTTTCTCATGGTCTTTACTTAATTTGATGCTTATTTTTGAAGAATTCATTCCATCATTTTCTTGGTCATTAGTCTTGCTGTTGCTATCATGCCGCCTTCGCAGAGTAAGTTTGGGAATCCCAGAGCTGTTTTCAAGAATGAGTTGTGCATCATACCTTGTGATTCGCCTTTTCTTTTTACTTTTTGCAGTTCTAAAGCGCTCTTTGACTTTGAAAGTGTCAGAAGTTACAATGGAACAGCCACCGGATGCAGGGACACAGTCTTTATATCCAATGGCTGAATCCATTACACTGTTTATCTCTCCTAGGTCAGAATGTGAACTGATCAAATCTGGCAATTTATCTTTGCCAGTCAACGAATGCGCACAATCTGTTTCCTCCATTTTTGCTGATGGCTTCGCCAGTCTCCCTTGTCGAGATTTCTTTTTGGCCACAACTCTTTCACTCTTCTGACACCTCCCCTCCACCTTCTGTGCTGCCATAAGAGATTGCTCACTCTCCAGAAGCACATGAGACTCCTGTTCCAAGCTATTGGCTCGCATGCCTGTCAAACTGTTTTTATAGCTATTTAGCATATTTGGTTCAAGCTTTAAGTCAGAGGTCTCTTTCAGATTCGTTCGCGTTCTCATTGACCTCCGTGTTATGTATGTACAGGGTGATATTTCCCCAGGTTCATGAGCACCTTTCACTGAATTTAATTTATATTCTCGCGCTGCATGCCTTGTTAAGCAGCCACTAGACACTGCAACTTTCACTGGTCCCTCTGTTTCTTTGTCCTTCTTAATGGGCAAATTTTTATACAGAACTATTTTGGGTTCTTTAAGAACCAAATTTCCCATTTCGAGTTTCCTAGATGCATTTTTTTGTTCTGGCCTTTTGCACTGATTTCGCAACTTTATCTTTGAAAGTAAAGGCTTTGCAGGCTTTTTCAGTCTCTTTGGTACCCTGGAATTATTTAAATGAGTTAGTCTGGATGAGGTAGAATTTGATGAAGTTGGAATTCTTGAAATAGACTGCCTGGTTAATGTCCTGTTCTTGCTGTTCTTTTTTACACCAATTGAAGATTTGCGGGTAGCTGTAGGAGTAAACAAAATAAATGTTTAAAAAGTTCATTCTGCCTTCATATTGAAATCAAAATGTGCAGAAACAATGTTTTTGCTTACTGCAGGGCTACATCCTACATAAAAAATAAAGCGTGCCATTAAAATAACTTGATTAATAATGGATTTAAAAGTTATTTAACTTTTAAGTTTAACAAGGAAAAATAAGTTTAACAAGAAAAAACTTCTGTATTAATTCCCTAAGCAACTTTTGTAATTTGGGCAGTTAAAATAATGCACTGAATATAAATACCCAGTACAGACTATACCAGCACTGCACCAATATGTGCACTTAACTAACCTTTAATGGAGCAATATTCCAGAAATATGTGGCCTTCAGAACTCCCATTTTACCACGATGAAATCAGAATTATGCCTATTGGACTTGTGAATGTGGTATTAGAAAAAAAATATGGGAAATTAATATTGTATCGTAACTGCTCCAAGATTATTGTATGCCAAAATTGGAAAAGTAATGAAATACCTTCAGTAGAAGACCAGATTATAAAATTAACTGAACTTGCAAAAATGGCAAAGGTGACCAGTCTGATTAGGAAAAAAAATGACAGACTATTTTTGGAAAGATTAAAAAGAATGGGGAAAAGATTAAGATAATAATTACTTGATAGAAAGAAGGGTAGAAGGCATCAAAGTAAGTTTTTTTTCATTTCTTTCTTTTTCATCTTTCTTTCTTTGTGTATTTTAATGTATGAAAACATTGTAGTAAAAATATGTATAAAAATACTTTTAAGCCATTAGCTGTTGACCTCATTATTATAGAAGTGAATGGGGAAGTCACTTATTCAATGCCTGACTCAACACGTTTTGGTTTAATTTCATATTTTTAAGATAATCATAATGCTTTTAAGATATCATCATAATGCTGTTTAAAAATGTAAAAATACTTGGAATATCTAGTATATTATATATCAATAAATTGGAATTTACCACTAAATGAAGAAATCATAGGTTTATCAACAACAAAAAGCAGCAAAAAATGTCAAATGTTAAAAAGAGAGTATGACTCCAGAGTTACCACACTGGATTAATGAAATGGTTCATTTTATGGTTATAAACTTGCACTCTATCAATGTAATAGAACAACCAATCAATTTTACCCAATTTGACTATTTAATAGTATGTTTAAAACCTAGATAAGTTTATCTATTCAGAAGCAAATAAGGAGTATGGCTGGAGTTAGATATAGGTTCAAACTGTTCTACGGTGATCTGGTCAGCAAAGTGAAATTATTTCTATCTTAGTGAGCCTGCAGAATGTCAGCCACCAATTAGGATATCCCGAACCCTTAGAACAAACCAGTATGAATTACGGTTCTCTGGTACAGCATTTAATAGATAAAATTATGTGTGTTCATTCTGAGTTGGAAGCCTTAGAGAAGAAAGCTACTGAGATGAGAGGTAATGTCCTATGATATTATATGAAAAGGTTTTAAGTTTGTGCATCTTGAGGATGTGGCTAGAATTCTCTTAGTAATGTTACCTGCATGTCAGTCTTTCAAAGTAGATCAGGAAACACACTCGACATGAAGACCAGAACTATACTATATTGAGACAGGCTATAATAACAGGAGTCGTACTGAATTCTCTTTGCAAGATGCTTCTTAATGAATGCTTCTCTCCTCTTTATTTACATACACCTTCTGAATATTTGTTTCAAGCAGTAAAAACTTTCTTGAAGGGGGTAATTCCACATCCTTGAAAGGGATCCTGGACTGCTCATTCCTTAAAAAGTGAAACCTGAATTCAATGGAATGGAGCTAGATAACTAACATGCATAAAACCTTATGAGTTTTAAAGTGCTTCCACTCCTTCGTGAAAGGGCAAGCCCAATCAGTAGTTATAAGAGGATAAATGATGGCCTACATACACTCCATTATGGAATGACCCAGGGCTTAGTCCTTTCCCTAGGCCTGTGATGGTGAACCTATGGCACGCGTGCCCTCTCAGATGGCATGTGAGCCATCGTCCCATTTCAGCTCTGACGCGCAGGCCATCTGCCAGCCAGCTGGCCTTCAGGTCTCTGCCATGCAGGCACAGGGGGGCGGGGTGTATGGGGATGCACATGCACGGGGAATGGGGTGCACGTGGAGGGGGTTGCACGTGCAATGTGGCGCATGCGTGGTGCTTGCACATGCATGTGCACGCATTGCATTTTGGGGGTTCAGGAGTGTGCGCGTGCATTTGCGTGCTTGGTCCAGAAAAGATTAGCCATCACTGCCCTAGACTATTTAATTTTTCTGTGAAACTACTAGGAGATGTTATTAGTCAATTCAGAGTGAAGTACACTCAATATGCTGATGATACTCAGTGGTACAGCTCTGTTCTGGGCACAAAGGAAGATGCAGTAGAAGTTCTAACGTTTGACAAAGTGGGGGAAAAGAAGCTGAAATTCAATGCAAGCAAGATGGATAACTGTTCATTTAAATACCTTATTCCAAGATTGAAGCAAACCTAAGTTGTATTCACAACCTCAAAGACTCTTACTCATTCCTTATTATATTGTTAAGTTATTATAATTTGCTGTGAATGGGCTGTATTTCCATTTCTGTCCACTCCAGACAGCCAGGGAGCACTTGCTAAGTGTTTTTATACCAAGTGAAGTATTCTCTGAGGAAATTCACTTCCTATGGAACAATTTCCCCTAAGGAAAGGATTGCTTCTATTCTTATGGTTTTCTGAAAACTGATAAAAATCTGATTCTTCCAGAAACCTTCACGAATTGTGGAGCCACTGATACCTAGATCAATCACTGTATTAATAGAATCTGTAGTTTATGATTGTATATTTTAATAATGCATTATCTATTATTGTTACTTTTGCTATTTTAGTATCCAAATACTGGATTAATACAGAGATAAATAGCCCAAATAATAAATATTTTTGTTCTTTTCTCCTGTTCACTTTTGTGATTTTTGTTCCTTTTGTGTTCTTTACACAAAAATATTAAATATACAAAAAAATGGAAAAAGTGCAACCACTAGTTATTTCACTAGATTCTAAACTACTGATTAATCCCAGAACTCTCTATTCCAAATATCCTTTGCCGCCATAAAGCTTACAATGTTTATTTTCTTTTTAGATTTGTGAAGACTCTATCTCAATCTTGTTAAGAATGCTTACATAAAATACATTTCAAAATATTCTTGCCACTTGCTTACTTGCATTAGCTTTTTCCTGAGTGGTATCTGCATCAGTGTTAGAGCTGACAGATTGACTGTCAGAATTTTTACTGCTATCACCCAATTTTTTAAGCCTGTTTAAACGTTTATCTGTTTCTCTAAGTCCGTATTTGCTATTGATCACAGGAGTAGGTGCAGGCAGTCCCATTCTTGATTTAAAAGCACCAGTTCCACGTCTAAAAAAAAAGAGTAACACATATTAATTATACTGCACATAACATTAATAAAATGAAAGCTAATTAAATAGTTTGAATTCTGGGTTTGTATTGGTATTTTAAAGAAAAGAATTGTTCATATAGTTAAAAATTCTGCTATTATAATTTAAGGGAAGTTAATTAAAAAATTGTAAAGTTACTCCTTTAACATTTCCCTTTTTCCAAAGGTGCTTTTTTCAGGAGGCAACTGGATTTCCTTGTTTTTTCTTTTGAAGACGTTTTGCTTCAAAAGAAAAACCAAGAAATTTCAGTTGGCTCCTGATAAAAGCACCTTTGGTACAACCACGACCTGGATAACTGAGAATCTCTACAGATTTTTCTTTCTTAAAAATCCATATATCAAGTGAAGTATGCTTCCTCAATTTAATGAACTATATTTCATTAATAACACAAAATTAGAAGAATCAACATATGTTCTGTAGAAAATATTTTGTATTATTTCTTCAGGATACAGAGGATATGATCTGAAGATATCTTTTACTGAATTCATACGTATGAATAGTATATCTAGTAAGTAGGTATAGGATAAAATAATTTTTGTGAAGCTGAATAACTATGCCTAACTTTAAGCTTAATATAGAAATGTGATAAATTAAATTGATATGAAGTTTAAAATTAAAAGTATATTTACTGCATGCCAGAAACAACTAAGTGCAAAATTGAACAAAACGAAAAAAAAAATTAAAGCATTTCTAACATTTTCCATTTTTAAATATGCTCAAGCAAGAAAAAGTAGAGAGGTGTAAGATATTCTGTATACAAGGTGTTATATGCATGTAACCAGCTGGCTTTGGATGGTCCATACCTGCACCAAAACACATAAGGTTTGGATATAAAAAAATCAAGAATCTAGTAGTTTTTTTCAATTAATTTTACCAAAAGGCATGACCTTTAATGAGTTGTGGCTCACTATCACATGCATAAAGTAGTTAGACTGATATTGGATTTAAACTGTGATGAGGTGAGGGCGAGGGAAGGGAGGGTAAGACAAATTGTTATGTAGATGCAAATTATATGAGTTAAAAATCTATTGTGTTTCTTGAGACTTTTCCTAGATTGTCCAAAAACTTTTGAGGTGAGTTAAGCAGTCTCTTACTCAATGGTGCTGTTAAAGCTTTGTTTTTTTTCAGCATATTATACATTACACCTAGTCTTCACTTAATGACCATCCTGCTTAGTAACAATCTGAAGTTAAAATGGTGCTGGAAAAGTAACTTTACAATTGGTCCTTGCATTTACAACCCTTGCACAATCCTACCTAAATGAGCAGTTCCAGTGGTAGTCAAATCATTCCAATGCTCTTCCCCCATGTTGTTTAACATTTATAAGGAAGTACTAGGAGAAGCCATCCATCAATTTGATGTGAGACTTAAGATTTATTTCATTCCAATTTGCCTTTGGTTTCGACTGATTCTGCATGATCTTTATAGTTATAGACCTATTCTTTCATATTTTAAATGGCTTTCTTTACATTTTTATTGAACTTTGATGTAAACTTTCAAGCTTAATGGAATTGGGTACTTAAGAAATATAATTAATAATATCAATCAATACGGTGCTACATGTTGCCTTAAGATTACAAACTGTACATTCCATTTTACCTTTCACATGTGTAGCATTCACAAAATTCATTATTTTCTCCGAAAAAGCCATCTCCGTAATAGCAAGAAATTTCCTCCCCAGGTTCAATATCTCGCAAAGCTTTCACGCATGCTGTATCCCGGCCAGTTGAAACAAACTGTAGAGGATGAATGATTAAAATTTATTTTATTTTTTTTTTAAAAAAATTTTTTAAATATAATTTCATTTTAAAAATCTGATTATGTAAAACATTGCACACCTACCTTACAGTTGGGTCTGCAATCTGAAAAAGGTCCAAAAGATAAAATCAATTAACTGTTGATAAGACCTGAAACATGAATAATTACAAATACCTAAAGTAACGTTTTATATAGCAAGATTTATAATATATTGCACAACTTAACTGAAACAGGCACTATACCAAAATTTGAAATATTTAGTGAATAATACTAGCACCATTTCAAGTAGGATTATTATTTTAGATCATTCTAATTAAATTAGGGTATAAATAAAAAGACATTAAGAAGGACTTACAAATTCAACTGTTTTTTTTAAATGTCTGCTTACCATGATTAATGAAAGCAGCTGGACCAAGCCACAGTTGAGCACAGTTTTTCCGTGTTGAATACATGACACTGAAGTCATTTTCTCCATGTCTGAGCAACATATTCTCTTCTAGTTCAGAGAGTTCGGCAATACAACCTACTAATAACTCAATCTTGTCATTTCGTTTCCTAGTAAACAAAGAAATAAATTATTTTGTATAATTTTATTTCCATAATACGAAAGTTTAAAAAGGGATACATTCTGTCTCCCAACCAGACTTGTTTTGTAGAATGTTGGCTTTCTTAATGAAACGTTAAAAAAAAGTCTTATTGCTAGTAGTCATTAGTTCTTGAATTTGCTAAATTCAATAGTAATTCAGGTTGCAGAGGTTACAAGTGGTTCAACACAGATTTTATTTACTTTTTGTTCAATTTAATTTTGGCACTGCCTGACTTCTAAGGTGGGTGAAGATCTGACAATCAATCTAGGAGGAAATCCTTTCAACTGAAAGAAAATAATGCTAAAGCAGCAGCAGACTGGAAAAATGAAAAATAATGAAAACCAGATAAAAGCTCAGAAGGGGCATTTTAGAAAGGCATCCCTGGCACCTAAAATGTTGTTTTTATTTCATTTATCACATTTTAAACCGCCTATTTCCCTCACACAATTTTTTTGCTTCAAAAATCTGGCTTCGCAACATTTTTTCCCCAATACTTACCACTCTTTTGTTGCAACTATTTTGGCTCCATTTTGCTCTGATGAGTATCGATTGCATGGCAATATTTCAAATCCACTGTCAGTTGCAAACATTCGTAAATAAATAAATACCTGCAGCAGGAAAAAAATATTTAAAAAACCTGCTAAGAACTATAGTACACTCTGTGCTGCCAAATTGCATAACCTATGCTACACTTGCTAAAAACTCAGAATACTAACACCTCACTGATACGCTTCACAGAATCTCAGAGTATATATAAATTAGCATGTATTTTATATAACATACAGTATAAAATTTGAGCTTTCAAAATCACTTTTATGGGAAAAAGGGGAGAGGAAAAGTAATTATATCCTTACAGAGACTTCCAGCCAACGTCACATGAATTATCAAATTGTGTATTACATGTTATCACCATGAGTTCCAGCATTCTCCAGTCAGGGAAGAAAGTTAGTTTTGGAATGTATTACTCTCCAATTCTCAAATGTCTGACAATTCTCTGAGACACAGCATTACCAAACTATTCAAGAGTATTCAAGGCTTTAGAGCAGGGGTGTCAAACTCAAGGCCTGCAGGCTGGATCTGGCCCGCAGGGTGCTTAGATCTGGCCCACGGGGCTGCCCCGGAAATATCAAAGGACCAGCCCATGATGTCTCTCCCAGCCAAAACAGGGCATGGGGGAGGCACTTTCACGCGCACCCCCAATGGCCCATTTTCGGCTGGCATGCTGCAGGCCGTGGAGGCTGAAAACAGGCCGTGGGAGGGGCACTTGAGGCCCCCCATGGCCCATTTTTGGCTGGCAGAGTGCTGCAGGAAAATGGGCTGTTGGGGGGCCACGGGGGGGCATGCACAGCCCCCCATGACCCATTTTGGCCAACAGGGTGCTGCAGGAAGCGTCCATCTCCCCCTTCCTCCCACCAGCCCACAAAGAACTACAATGCTGATTCGGCCCTTGAAGAAATCCAGTTTGACACCCCTGTTTTCGAGCAGGGATCTCCAACCTTGGCCATTTTAAGACTAGTGGACTTCAACTCCCAGAATTCCTCAGTAGGCAAGCTGGCTGAGGAATTCTGGAAGTTGAAGTCCACTAGTCTTAAAGTGGCCAAGGTTGGAGATCCCTGTTTTAGAGTACTGAACTAAGAATTCCTTTAAAAATAACACACCTTTTTCCAAAGGACAGACTTTCAATGTATGAAGCCCTAATTTCCTCAATGTGTAATATTCTGCAAAGATGAGATGTAAATTATATCTTTTAAAAAACAATAAAAATAGGACGCTAATTGTTTTAGCTATTGAATATTTAAATTTTGCATTTCTTGATAAAACTATTGTGCCTATATTGCTCAGTCAGAATTTCTGGCTTATTCCTTAAATTCAGTCTTCAATCTTATATTTATTCACTTCCTATATACCACTCACTAAGGAAAGCTGTATTTTAATGCATCAGTTTAAAGTCATTTCATAGGTGATATAATTCTAGTTATTTCTTTATCATGATTAAATCATCAAGTATATCTGCACAAACTTTTTACAAGACACAGCATTTTTGTATAAAGAACAATTTCCTTCATTTGATTCCAGCTGCCTCTGATAACATTTTCTTTTTTCTTTTCCTTGAAGTTTTCTACTATCTCAGTCCTTTCCCTTTTTCTGCTGTTAATTTTCATTCAGCTAGTTAATTTTTCTTTATTAAATTATCAAATTTGTACATCATCCAACTCTAAGCAACTCTGGGCATTTGCTAAAGATAGAAACAGACATTTTTTTTCTACCAGTTTAACATCCACAATATCCTATAAACTGTACTTGTAACAAACTGAACTTGGATTAAGTATAAATACACCTACATGTTCTTTGAACAACCTTTCCTGCATTTTGTTCTTGTTAAGAAAATAGTGCCGGGCCCAGTCACCTGACGTCAAGGACTTGAAGGCTTTTTCCAAGTGCTCATCTTTCTTAAAACGCTCAATCACCTCCTTCAGTTCCTCTTGTCTTCCTTTTATTGGTCGAAACCTCAGGCAAAAAAGGAAAAAAACCCAAGATAGAACTTCAATCAAGCTGCATTTTATATACCCACTTTATATATTCAGAGAAACGAAATTACAATAGGACCAAAAGTAGAAATGAATATTGTTTCAACAGGTTTTACACAAATGATTAAAAGAGGAATAATTATAGTTACTGGAGTAGGAGAAACATTTTAATAATGACAAGGAAATATCAATAGCCCTGTAAAAAACATGGGGGAAGTCACATCTCAAATACAGTATTTGTTATCTCAGTGATGTTCTGTTATTTGCATGAGAGATACTAATCAAATAAAGCTTTTAAAAACATAGTTTGTTTTACATATGTATAGTGTTAAATCTACAAGGTAGTTCAGACAAGAAGCACAAACCATGAATTATTAAATTGCCTTTAATGTAACAGTATTTTACAATTCTGAAAGCACTTCTTCCCTCCTTTACTTTTACTTTCCACAAAACCAGAGAGGGATTCTTGTGAGATGCTTGTTTTCCTTCTATGGGCTGAGATACCTTTTGCATGACTGTTGGTAGGCTGAGGCACCATCTCCCAAGATCCTACAGGCCATCACATGCACTAAATAATGAAGGTTTTCCTCATATGAAAGATTCCTTTCTTTTAAGACGCTGAGCATCGTTTTCTCCCATATCTTCCTATTTACACGCTCCAGTCACGTGATAATTCTTTATCTCCCAATTTCTTTAATGCAGTTAATCCCAAGACTCAGCTTCTATGTGGCACTCACCTTATGCAATTCTGTAGCAAGATGTGTTGAACTCTGATATTGTACAGTTAGGTGGTATGTTAAAAATGTCTAAGGAATTCAGTCAAAACTCTAATTGAACTTGGATATTTTTAGTTCTGTTCAATATTTTTATAAACTATTTATTAATTTTACTTATTTTCTTTGCCTCTTGAGCTCTTTTTAGGAATAGGTAGGATACAAGCTTTCAGAGAAAATCCAATATAGAGATAATTCTTGATTTACTATCACAACTGCAACAGAGGTAGTATTCAGCAGGTTCTGACCAGTTCTGGAAATTTTGAGTAGTTCGGAGAACCAGCAAATACTACCTCTGACTGCAGATTTTACAGTATCCTTCCCCTGCCACACCCACAGAACCTGTAGTAAAAAAAATTGAATCCCACCATTGCACTGCAACCAGAATTTCCATTGCTAAGGAAGATGGTTGAAAATAAATCACTCCCAGTTTTATAAAGTTTTTTTGCCATGAAATCACTGCAGTTGTTAAGTAAATTGTGTGGTTGTGAAGTGAATGCGGCTTTCTTCATTAGTTATGCTTTTTGGAAGCTGGCTGGGAAGGTCACAAATTGTGATCACATGTCCCCAAGATGCTGTAACCATCATCAATACATGACTTTGCCAAGCACCCAAATTTTTTCCATGTGACTATGGGATTATTGCAATGGTTAAGTATGAGGACCGATTGTAAGTCACTTTTTCAGTGCCACTATAACTTCAGAATAAATGATTGTAAGTCAAGGAGTATCTGTATTAAATAGATAAAATGATATAATTTTTGCATTATCTGATCTTTTAGCAACAGTATCATTTGTTTCTAGATTCTGAATGTTGGAATAATATTCTTATTACACAATTTAATGAACAACACAGAGAAGGTTTTGATATAATTTTAATTAAGAAACCTGTATTTTTCTTGTGATGGTGTGGTGGGTTTATTATTATTCGGGTTTTTTTTTTGCAAATCCATGCATTGGCCTCTCTGTAAATATGGCTTGGCTCATTTATTTATTTATTAAATTTGTATGCTGCCCGTTTTGCTGTCACATGACTCTGGGTGGCTTACATGATAAAACAATATTATAAAAGATTAAAACAGTAAAACAATAAATATAACATTAAAACAATTATTTGAAGCTATTGTACAGATATTACTCAGCAATGCAGGACTATAGCATATTTTGCTTTGCTTTTTAATTATCTGTAGGAGATGGTGAATGGTCATACAGGTGGTGCTTGCTTAATGGCTGCTCATTCAGTAACTGAACTTATGATGGTGTTGAACAAGTGCTACTTGCGACTGGTCCTTGAAGTTTCAGCTGTCACAATGTTCCCATGGTCACAATTGAGATGGGGGGGGGGGGCAGCTCTCAATTGTGGTGTGGCATTCCAGTCAGGTGAACACTATTTGCAACTTTCCAGGTTCCAATAAGTGAAGTCAATGGGAAAGCAAACGATGATCAAATTATGTTCTGGTGATAACCAGAAGTGCCAGAGTTGCTGTTGCTAAGCAGTCATGTGATACCAGACCTTACAATCATGTAGCTTAGTGATGGAAATTCCAATCCCAATTGCCATAGTTAATTTAGGCCAGAAAGTTGGGCGAAGTGCCTCTTTGTCATTTTAGAAAAGTCACATCTGTGCAAATGGGAAATTTAGAAAAAGTCAAATGGGGGAGGCTAGCAATTTGCTTGTCTTGAATTGCTCAATCGGCTTCACTTTGTGTTTCTTGAGAAGGAGATAGCAGTATTAAAGACAAATTCAGACCACCGCATGTTCTTTTGACATAGTTTTCCTCTTGGTTGATACTAACTGGATCAGTTGAGGAGGATCTAGTCAATTATCAACACAACCACCACCACTACTCTTCCATGGAAGGGAGGTGATACCCAGCTTGAAGAAGGCAGTGCTCTGTATGCTCTTCAATTAAGTATCATTAGATATGCTTGTTCGGATAATTATACTTGTCAAATTTGCACTGTTGGCACAAGTGGTTGAGAGAGCATTGACTGAACAATTCTGGATTCTCCTGGATGGAGAGTAGGATTTAGATACATTTCAACTGATTAGAGAATAGATCATGGCCTGGAAAAAGCACATCTGTTAATTACTTCAGGCCAATTATCATGACACTTAAAATGTATCTATTATGACAATCTTTTAATTTTCAGCTTCAGATAACCTCTAAAATTTGTTGGTAATCGAAGTATAAGAATACAAAATGTCATTTTAATAAGACATGGATAGTGCTCGATTTATAACAAATGAGGCAAGAATTTTCATTGCTAAGCAAGGCAGTTGTGAGTTGTGCCCAATTTTATGACTTTTGCCATATCTGCTACATGAATCACACAATTGTTAAGTTAACCATTGTTAAGTGAATTTGGCTTCTCCCACTGACTTTGCTTTCAAAAGCCAGCTGAGAAAGCCACATACACTTTGTAAATATATGCTGGCTGACAAGAACCCAAATTTGTTCATGAGACTATGAGGATACTACAACAATCATAAGCGTGAGGACCAGTCACTTTCCTCAGTGCTGGTGTAACTTTGATATTCTTGAAGCTTGGCTAAATGAATTGTTGTGAACTGAGGACCACCTGTACCAAAAAAGTATGCATTAGAGTTTTTTATCAGTTCAAACTGAGAAGGCCCAATAGACAACTGAATAATCCTGAATCCCTTATTGCCTTCCTCATACATCCCAGCATTTTAAGTATATTAAGTTATATACCAAACCTGTAGAATAGGAGTGTCAAACTCTCGTTCGTCACAGTGTTGTCACGTGATGTATTGTGACTTTTCCCCCCTTCACTAAACTGGGCATGGGTAGCACATGACACATCAGCCTGCAGGCCGCAAGTTTGACTGTCCTGCTGTAGAATATTGCTATATAAAGAACTATAGATTTAGCAAGCATTGAGGATAGCAAAGAAGAACACTGTTCAATGTTGGAAAGACAGAGTTACTCAGATTTACAATTTGGGATTACAAATACATGTTTACTTCTATTTATGAGTTGGGTTTTTTTAATTGATGTAATATAATTGATGCATATTGTCTTGTGTAAATTAGTTTAATTACCTGTTTAAAAACAAGGCTCAATTACATCTCTTGTATGTAAAGTATGTTTCTTGTATCTTGTATATAAAGTGTGTTTCCTGTATCTTTTTACTTTTTGTCAATCAAACCAAAAAGGAAATTATAATCCATCCTAATAATTTAGGTTGAGATGTTTTAATTTAACATGTTATTTTTAAGGTCAATTTTACTAATAAAAATCTTCAAATTTAGGGATGGTTATAAAGCAAGAAATCCTAATATTTTTCTTGGTATTTAAAATAAATAAGAAATATAGCCGCAGTATCAATGTTTTTTACAGGCTGTTGAAGGTTGTGAATAGTTTTTTTTGCTAAAAAAATTATGATGTATTTCAGTTACCTAACAAAGATAGAGCCACAAGCACACACACGCAGAGTGTGTCATATAATTAAAAGCTCTATTATGAAGTCTAAGGAATAGTAGAAAACTTAAAGAATGTGATTTCTAATAAGACAGGATTCTTTCAAAAACACAACGGTAAATCTTTCTTTATTATTTGCTTTAAATAATTTCCCTACTTTATATAATAAAATGAAGCAGCCATTACATAATGCTCATTAAAATACTTTCATGTTATTGTAATTTATTCATTACTATTATGTACCAGTCTATATACTATCCAATCTCAATTCTTCGAGCATTTTAACATCATCCACACATAAAACGGAGTAATAAAAAATCCTTAAAAAGCAAAACAAATAACTTCAGGAAAACCCAATAAAGATGGGTTGAGAGAAACAAATTTAGTATCTCAAAATCTTTGATGCAGGTTGCCCTTCATAAATACAGCTTGAGGGCTTATGAAGAACATGTTAATGAAGACAAAAAAACAACAACCCTGAATTAAAGCAGTCAAAATTTCCTTAATTAAATACCTAATTCCCAGGCTCTGGGTTGGTTTTTTTTACACTTTACATTTGTCAGATCCACATAGATTTTAACTAAAACAAATAAGGATTTATGTTTGCTAAATAATAAAACAATTACCTAGTGTTCATTTTATGTGTTTGAAAGCCTAAATATGGATCAAGAACCAAACTAGTTGCTAGGTCATCATTTTCACATAGCTCCTTGGCAGACATTCCAGAAGAAGGCACGTAGCGACTTTGGCCCTCAAATCCCGAACCACCACTACCTGCATAAATCAAAACAAACGATTAGCTGATACTGAACGCTGAATTGTATTAATCTTTCTCCTTGTATAGGGAACAAGAAAAAAAACAGGATTCTTGAGAATGCAGAAGCTTCTCCCAAGTTAAGTGTTGGTCCGGTGGTGGGCACAATGCTTTATTTATGCAGAAGATTCATTTTCACCAGGATATTTGTGACGACAGAAGTTACCACATGACTGAACAGAGACTTTCAAGTGAGGCCCATAGGAAATGTTCAGGGAATGAACAATGCATATATCATAAAGAGCCAAAAGATGATTTTAAGAGTCATCTTTTGTATGAATTAATGAGAATGCTTTACAGTGTAGGTTGTATGGCATCTCAGATGAATTATTTTTATTAAAAAAAAGTAATTTAGCTTATAAAATTTATACCATATTTTATCTGACAGTGGTCTAAACTTGTACATTTCTACTTTTGTGAAATAATAACATTGCTTTTTAGCAAATCCTCTCTATTCTTTTTCCACAAAAAGTTTTTTATTTTATATTTACAATATAAATCCTCTCTAATCTGATATCAATTCACATGGCTCTTTCATTTTATCCCTCAAACATTAAATAAAAATAACAACTCTCTGATTTTAAAATTTTATCATATATAGGCAACCAGCATTTTTAGTGCAGCCTGCAGGTATTCCTTAAAATTAGGTGTAATGGTATGAAGTGATTGATTTGCAGTTGGTCCATTCAGTAAACCATATAATAAAGGAGTCATGTTTTCATATAAAGTATATTATATAAAAGAAAAATGATGCAAGCACAATCTGCCAATGAATAATTTGTTATTCAGTTTCAACATGTTGACATTTAGAGCAAAACAAGTCCTTTTCATTGCATGCTTGATTTCAGGATAAAACCATATTCTATGTCCAAAAACCTAAAGCAAATCAAAGTCTTCTATCCTACTCAGAAGTTCTCCAGTTACAAAAGGAAAGGAGAAATGATTGTTGTAAGTAGAAAGTTATGTACCTCTGCTGGATTATTAAATTAGTATTGACTTCAGTAGTGCAAT